TAGATCGGTGGGAATCGTGCCTAGAGTCCCCTTCTCCAACTCCTCATTGCTTCCACTCTGTCTCGGTGACAAGTCCGCAGCATAGTCCCGGACGTCCCAAGTAGTCGTATCTGTCCAAAACTTAGTGAAGATCGGCCGGCTAGAAGTGAGACATACATGAAGATTTGAATGCTTCTTCAAGCATGTTAATTACCCTTTCAACAGATGCTTGGGCCTCCGGCTCCAACCATGGTGGTGGAGCAGGACGAGGAACGCTTGGGCTATGTAAAGACCGCAACCGGCCTCTGAAGTATCAAGCTAGATCCCTTGTATATTGAAAGAAATCGGGGGCAGTCATGAACAAAAAAAAGGATTTTTGACACTTTTAACTGGCAAAACATGAGGCTCGGGCATGGATTTATTTATTACGTAGAACAGGGACGTCTGTCAACATGTCAGGGTCATAACTGCCATTAGGATAGGATCGTGGTCTTTCCTGTCTGGTTGCACCCGGCCTTTCAGATCAGTTCTGCTCATCCGGGCTTTCAAACAAGACTCGACATGAATTTTTTTTTTAAGTAAAAAGATACAGGTGGTAATGGTATGACGTATTAAGAGACCCGTGTTACGCCACATGCCCTTTCATAATAGGTGAAATGGGGGTTTGGATAGAGTAAAAAGGACGTACGGTAAGGTAACCCTCTCGCCGTCGTCATTGATGATGGTCAAGAGTATCGTCCCCTAATCACCATGTTAGTGGGAAAAAGGAAGTACAAAGGGGATTGCTCACGTCTGGCAACCTGCCGGTGGAGTCTACGGTTGCAAACATGAGGCCACCGCTACACATATTATACCAGACTCGGGTTCCTTTCTGACAAATCATCAGCTGGTTACGACCAATGGAGATGTACAGAACCTACGGGGTAGGGGTTGGGTGGAGGGATACCCAACAGACTCCAGATTGTCATGGGGGTGAAGTTATTCATGTCGCAGATGAGGGGGGTGAAGATGGGTCCTTGAAATGCGAGAGGGTTTTTAAAGGGGGAAACACGGATGTTTTCAGGTTAAATTACAACCCTCAATGCAACCCTATATCAGAAGCATAAATGATGGCGGCACAGGCCTCGAGGCCAAATTGCAAAAAAGAGTTGAAAGAGTCATAAACATAAGCATGGCCGGGGATTGAACCCGGAAGCTGGGGATTGAACCCGGAAGCCAACTACCATTAGACCATGCTGGCTTCCAAAGATTGTTGGTAAATCTGGGATAAGGGGTGAATTCTTGATTTCGTACTCCAATTGGTCTCATGTCCAGGCCCAGCTTGAACTGTAGTTTAAATGCCAAACAAGTCAGTGCTGAGTTTATAGGACTGGGTTCAATCGCACCCAAACAAGTATTCGACATGGTCGTCAGCTAAGTTACATTTTTTTGCCGGACTTGGCCAGGCACCGGGTTGTCTTATACACCGGGTTCACCCCCCGAACAAGTCACTGCGCAGAATTTGTCCTTTTAACTGCTGCTATTAGAGTGACATGGTTGGCAGGTAAAAGATACTGACCGACATTGTCTTCAACATTGGCTTGGCCTAGTAGTTAAGCTGGGAGGTGTACGTAGTATATGTATGTATGCCCTGGGTTCAAATCCCGAACAAGTCATAGATTCACGTTTTGAAAAGTTTTTTACTTACTGCAGGTAAAAGATACTGACCGACCTATGTATGCCGGTTTAAATCCTAAACAAATTTTTTACTTGCTGCTATTAGAATGACATGGTCAGCAGTTAAAAGATACCGACCAACATTGTCTTCCACCATTGGCTTGGCTTAGTGGTTAAGCTGGAGGTGTACAGAGTGTATGTATGCCTGGGTTCGAATCCCAGAAGTCACTTGCAACGATCGCAACTCTTTCGTTTTTGTAACTCTGGCTAAAATTTACTAATCAATTCTTACCGAGCTTGCAGACCCAGGTTAGTTGTCTTACGCTGGGTAAGTTACAAAGTGCTGAGCTTTCAGGCCAGGTGGATCATTGACTTGGCTCAGTGGTCAAGGTGGGAGGTGTACGCATTGTATCTATGTATGCCCTGGGTTCAAATCCCTAACAAGTCATGCTGTTCATCCTAAACAGTTTTTTACTTACTACTATATTAGAGTGACATGGTCGTCAGCTAAAAGATACTGACCAACTTCCTCTTGCAGTGCTGACTTGGCTTAGTGGTTGAGCTGGGAGGTATGTATGCCCTGGGTTCAAATCCCAGAAGTCACATAGAGCGAAGACAGCCTTTTTGTAACGCTGGCTAAAATTTACTAATCCAAGGCTTGTAACATCCAAAGTCCCAAGAACGGGTAGTTGTCTTAGTTGTCTTATGCCGAGAACGGGTGACTTACAAAGTGCCGAGCTTGGACGCCCGGGTTCAAATTGCAGGCAGGTAAAAGATACTGGCCACGATCGTCTTCCAACGTTGGCTTGGCTTCGTGGTTACGCTGGGAGGGTACGTCGTGTATGTATGCCCTGGGTTCGAATCCCACAAGTCAGTTACACCTATCGCAACTCTTGTTAAAATTTACTAATCAATGCTGGTTTGACCGATGTTGTCTTGGATCATGAAAATTTGAACTGCAAGTTCTGCCTGGTCTGCCTCTGCTTGGCTGCTAAATTAAAGGCCAAGCTGAAAACGATTCGGCTTGAAAATGCCGGCCTCAGTGATGCATCGGCTGATGAGATGTTCATAAATTCTCGTGTCCGGCCGACTCGGTGATATCCATGAACCATGACTACCATGTGGGTCTCACCAGCTGACCCTGGTAACCAGAGTTGAGGGCCCTCGGCCGACCACCAACCCAGGCGAATTCAAAATGTCTGCTGACCTTGCATAGCCTAGCTGCTAATCAGAAGTGAAGGCCCTCGGCCGATCACCAACCCAGCAACGTTCACAACTGTCAGCCGACCTTGCATAGCTTATCTTCCATCAACCGATATACAAATACAATGTTCAAAACTGTCAGCCGACCTTGCATAGCTTAACTATCTTCCATCAGCCGATATACAAATACAATGTTCAAAACTGTCAGCTGACCTTGCATAGCTTAGCTATCAGCCGATATACAAATACAGGGACTTGACTTCCTGGGGCAGCTTCCTACTGATCGGTGTATGCTAAATCTACGTAGCTGGCCGACCCTTCTTTACCTTGATAGTGGGATCACATCGGCCAATTCATCAACACAGGGTTATTGGCCCTCATCAGCCCATCAGCAGGCACCATCAACTATGGCCTGTTTGTATTAGTGTTCGCAAGTTCAGTTCAGTCCGGTTTTTTGCCCCCAAAACGCGCAACCGTGGACCGCAACCGGTCTAGGACCGACCCAGATATTGAGGGAACCGAACCGAACCACCTAGGACCGGTCTATTTCGGTCTATGGAGCCGGTTCAGACCGATCCAGACCGGTTTTTTTGCGTATAATTTATTATACCAATATAAACCATTTGTATCTTGACTATTATTACTCTGAAAAATAAACGGGTTATATGAAATAGTAAAGCATGTAAATACCCGTCATTCTACCAATTTTGAAGAGATTTAATGAAGATTTGACATAGCTATGACTGAAACCGAATTACATCTTGTAGAGACTCGGGTAAAATATGGATTTGGTTATATCTTTCTTAATTCTTAACCGTTTTTGATGAAACAAAAACCCAATAAAAGGTAATAAACGTGGTTACAAGGGTATGTAACGCACGTGACCGTTTAACCGGTTGCAACCGATCAAAACCGGTCTTTGAACGGTTTTAATATATTTTCGAAATGAGGCAACCGGCAACCGGACCAACCCCAAATTGGGGCAACTGCAACCGAAAAAAAGACCGGACCATGGTCCGGTTCAGTTCGGTCCACCGGTTTTTTGCGGTCCTATGGACTGAACCTTTAAACACTAGTTTGTATTGTCGGGCCTCTCAGTGTTGGTGGGTGATTCCTACTAACTGCCCTGTCAAGTCAACCTTTTCGAGGTAACCGAATACTCCGAAACAGCACTGATCGCCTAACGCAGGTATAGAGGACTGTTAGTACAGTAACTCGTATCCTGAGGGATAGGTAGATGGTGGTGAAAAGAGATCTTGTATTTTTACGTTGTGACGTGTCAACTATGTACAACGTGGGAATCAATGACTAAGGATATAAGGTTTTGAGAATGAGGGGAAAGTGGAAAGTGCCGCGTACTATAAAGGGACTGAAGGAGTTGAGCAAATGAAGGTCCGTAGTATGTTACAGGGGGAATGTATTCATGATATATCTGACAAAAAGGCAGTGCCTGGAAGATGAATGATAAGAAATGGCCCTGCCGTCGATAAGCTCCAGAATTCCTGTAGATGACGCTGAACTGGAGCTTGACTACTGCTCAATACTTTCCATTCCTCCACTGATTCCTACCAGATTCTGCGGATTCCGGCCAGAATCCAGGAATTCTGTGGATTCCGGCCGGAATTGACAGGAATCCAACTGGAATAGACAGAAATTTCAGTATGAATCTATACTTCTCAGTTCCCCCTACAATTCCACTTTAGCTAGATGTCATATGACTTAATCTGCACTTATCAAGACCTCCTGAATTACTTGTGTAATGCAGTCAGTCAATCTATTATTCTATTCTATGCTGATAACTTAAACTTAGGAATTGCTTATGATATTCAAATTTGAACATGGATAATTCAGGTGTATTCACTAGAACTACATGAGATTATTCTACTACAAAATTATCCTACTACATAGAGTGTTAAAGGGAGGGGGGAGGGATGGAGGGGAGGGGGAGAGGGGTGAAGGAGAGAGGGGTGAAG